AATTGAGGTCCAACACCCGTAGGAGTGCGAGTATCTCCTTCTCCACCGCTCCGTAGCTCAACTCGTTCGGCTTTAGCGTTCGGCTGACGAAAGTGACCGGATGGCAGATCCCCTCATGTTCTTGTACCAAAGCTGCTGAGACCGCCCAATCACTAGCATAGCCTATCACCGTAGGTTGACGTTCTGGATCAAAATGGCGGAGGATGGGCGTCGTCGCGATCCTGTACCTTAGTTCCAAGAACGAGTGGTGAGCTCGAATCCACCGAGGCTCCACCTTGTCCGAGCTCCCTTTCGTCAACTCCGTCCAGATTGGATCCTCTCCCAATTGGTCCCGAAGTGGATCCAGTTCCTGTTTCAGGTCGCCCCCCGACATCGTGCTATGTGAATCCCCTCGTGGATCTGGGATCGCTAGGGCCAGAGCTTGTTGGATCTTGATCCGGACAGCCGAAGTGGCCATCGCAGCAAAATCCACCTCCCTCAATTCATAGAGGACTGCAGCAAAACGTGCGTAATCCTCGATGAACCGACCGTAGTAGTTCAACCTACCCAAGAAGGATTGCATCGCCCGTAGCGACTGTGGGAAGGACAAGTCTGCCAACGAAGAAAAGTCCTTAGGATTCGCCTCCAATCCCTCCTTAGAGACTCGATGACCTAAGCAATCCACCTTGCGCATCCCCCAATAACTCTTCACCACGCTGATAGAGAGATCCCACTTTAGTACACGCCTCCAGTAGGGATGTCACTCTCCCGCACAGCTGATCCCACGATTCCGCCGAGATTAGAATGTCGTCGATATAGGATCTGCGCCCTAACACGGATGGGGTTCCCAGATCACCTGGCTCTCCTGCTTCAAATGGATCCACTTCCGCATGACCTTCCCCGAACCTATCCCCTTCGAGCTCCGGTATTCGGGTAAATCCGTAGAGGGCATTATCGATCAGGCGCTGATAGATCTGGGGTGCATTCTTCAATCCAAACGGCATCCGGCTCCATTCGAACAGTCAAAATGGTGTGATGAATGCGAATATCGCGCAAGCTCGATCCGTCATAGTCACCACCCAAAACCCACTTGCCATATCTAGAGAACAGTACCAGAGTACTTTATCCAAATCTTCCAATATCTAATTGATTAGAGGCATCGGATACACCATCAGTCTGGTCAGGCCGCTAACCATCCGGTAATCAATACACAGACGTATATCCACTCCGTTCTTCTTAACGATGATTACCACAGGAGATGCCCACGGAGTCGTTGAGAAACTGATGATTTTGGCTTGCAGCAGACCCTTAAACAGATCCCATAGCGTTTCTCGGAACTGAGGCGCCACCTTCCGCACCCTTTGAGCGATTGGCTTCGCGTCACCGACATCGATGTCACATTTGACTCCGCGTGCAGCTGGTGGTAATGCATTCCCTTTGCCAATTAGCAGATGTCGGCTTCCCAGATATTCTGACGTAGCCGATCCACTTCCGCGGGTTCGTTCGCCCCCGGATCCACTTGGATATCATCAATCGTGACCTCCTCTGTGGTCGGTGGTACCTCCGAGATCACTGCCATACCTTCTCCAAGATCCTCGGCGTGTAGATCCCCGCCTTCTTGGTAGCATACTTGTTCATCTTCAGGCTTTGTCGGATCCACCACTGGATCCAAGCACCGCGACGCCCCCTCTCCCGTCATTGCTTCTGTCTTCATGGGATCGGGTATCCTGGTACCGGGGAAACTACCTTTTGGATCGACTTGATCTTCTGGTGAGTTTACACACGACGGTTCTTGTTTAGCCAGTGTTGACACTTTCAATGAGGATCCAGGCACTCTGTCCAATGGAGAGCTTGGATTCACTTGTGGGTCAGCAGGATCCAGCGAGCCGGCTTCAATTCCCTGCGATCCCCCATCCACCTAATCGTTGGATATGAAGGGGTTGATGACACTTGATTATATGTGGGGAGGTGAGTTGGTTGCAGCGTTTGTTTATGTGGTTTGTTTGCTGTTTTTGCGCCGGTTGGTGCGTGTGCATGTGTTGATCTGTGCGCTTGAGTTGCACTTTGGTTGTGTTAAGTTGCTGCAAGTGTAGTCAAGGTACACCCGTCTAGCTCAGTCGGTAGAGCGCTGGCCTTTTAAGCCAGTGGTCGTGGGTTTCGATCTTCACGGGGGGTGCTTCCTTCTTTGCGATCGGCTGTTGCCACGGGCGTGAGCGCCTAGTGCGTGCATTCGACTCGTGTGAGTCGTTGTTGCATCCGTTGTGCGTGTTTGGCAGCACTCGTGGCTGTGCTTTATGTTGCGCATTCTTTTGTTTGCTCGTTCACCTGAGATGTCGCATATCAAGTTTCACTGGGGATTTAACCCACATTATGGTCTGCGGGGGCTCCAACTATGGTGGGCGGCAACCAGGGCGTTAAATATATCTCTTCTCGCGAAACCGAGGGTCTTGCGGGGAGGAAGAGGGGGGACCCTCTATTGTGTGGTTTTGGGGGGCCCCCTTTTAATTTTAGTTTGGACTGGGTGGATGAGCTAGGTCATCTTACGAGGTAGAGATGGGTCAGCCAAAAGTAGCCTTTGGATTCGTAGAACTAAATGACTTGAATTAAGATGATTGCTTCCAATCTCCGTAATAGTCTGCACGGCCGTTTGGCAGGTACACACGAGTACGTTTTCTGCTCAATAGAGGCAGCCCAGATAGGCCACACATAGTCCAGCTGAATAGTTGTCTTTGCTCAAATCAGGAGCGAACGGCCCGTCAGATCTAACCGCAGTTGTTACCAAGCTCTCGAGTGTTGCCTAGGTTCCGAGCTGATGAAGAATCCGCTGCTGCGATTGTGTACATGAAGTGTTTGCACCTTATCTTGTGTAACTTTGCTCAGATCAAGTGATGGTTCGGACTTGACTACGGGCGTTCTTGTGTAAATCTCTGTCGACGCTGATCCCGGATGTGTCCGGGGTGTCCGTATCAACGTCGCTAGCGGTATTGAATACATACACGACTGTGTGGCAAACGACAGAGCGAGGGTCGGCTGAGCGAGCGAGTGCGGGATGGCCGGAAATTCCTTCCATAGGGCCTGTAAATATTGCGGAGATGTATTGGCACTTAAGCGAAACCCTAATTCTTGGATTAGCGAAAGAGTTCGTGTGAACACTGTGATATTTTTTGGGGGGGGGGGGGAGGGTGGGTTGGTTGCAGCGTTTGTTTATGGGGTTTGTTTGTTGTTTTTGCGCCGGTTGGTGCGTGTGCATGTGTTGATCTGTGCGCTTGAGTTGCACTTTGGTTGTGTTAAGTTGCTGCAAATGTTGTCAAGGTACACCCGTCTAGCTCAGTCGGTAGAGCGCTGGCCTTTTAAGCCAGTGGTCGTGGGTTCGAGCCCCACGGGGGGTGCTTGCTTCTTTGCGATCGGCTGTTGCCACGGGCGTGAGCGCCTAGTGCGTGCATTCGACTCGTGCGAGTCGTTGTTGCATCCGTTGTGCGTTGTTTGGCAGCACTCGTGGCTGTGCTTTATGTTGCGCATTCTTTTGTTTGCCTCGTTCACCTTGAGGATGTCAGCAATATTCAAAGATTCACATGCGACTTACCCACACTACTGCATCCGTGGCGTCAAAATAGTGCTGCGGAGACCAGGCGGGTTGGACACCTGCTCCGGACCAGGGGCGGCGGGACGGAAGGGGGGGGGCGGGCTGCAGGCATTGACTTAGGTTGACTGGGTGGATGAGCTAGGTCATCTTACGAGGTAGAGATGGGTCAGCCAAACGTAGCCTTTGGATTCGTAGAACTAAATGGCTCGAATTAAGCTGATTGCTTCCAATCTCCGTAATAGTCTGCACGGCCGTTTGACAGGTACACACGAGTACGTTTTCTGCTCAATAGAGGCAGCCCAGATAGGCCACACGTAGTCCAGTTGAATGACTGTCTTTGCTCAAATCAGGTGCGAGCGGCCCGTCAGATCTAACCGCAGTTGCTACCAAGCTCTCGAGTGCTGCCTAGGATTCCGGGCTGATGAAGAATCCGCTGCTGCGATTGTGTACATGAAGGGTTTGCATATTATCTTGTGTAACTTTGCTCCGATCAAGTGATGGTTCGGACTCGACTACGGTCGTTCTTGTGTAAATCTCGGTTGATGCTGATCCCGGATGTGTCCGGGGGTGTCCGTATCAACGTCGCTAGCGGTTCGATGTAGCCTTTGTTGGCTCATTGGGGAATCTCAGACAGTCGATCCACCGGTCAGTGTTGACTTCGTTGGCTAGTGATGCGTCGCGATGCGGTCAAGACGCTCAGTCGCTTGGACATCCGTCCATCTGCCATCCATGTGCCTGTCTGTATCGCGCGTCGGAGTAGGAGAAGTGAATCGGACTCGAAGGGGTGAGTGTGCATAGTACGATGTGCATGTTGGGTAATAGAAAGTAAACTGTCTGGGGGTGTGCATGATGTCGGTAGAGAGTGTGTGCGTGCGTACGTGGCCGTTCGGTTTGTGAGGTGTGTGCGCGTTTGTTTTGTGAATTGGGCAAGGGGGTAGGTATGGTTCGACGCGCGGGTAGCTCAGTGGTAGAGCGTTCGATTTGAGCTCGAAAGGGTCACTGGTTTCAATCCCGGGCCCGCGCCTCTTGTTGGTGGAACCGTCGGAGCTTGGTTGTGGGGCCTCTTTGCGCTTTTTACCTGCCCTCCTTTTTCGCGAGCTCTACGGCTTCCATCGTGCTGTACGCTTCCTAACGCTAGTATTGGATATACTGCTTGTTTGTGAACCCGGGTTATCTTTCTTTCCGATGTATCCCTTGTGGGTTCTTTTGGGTATTCTCATAACTTTTTTATCTCCTGTCTGTGGTTGCGTCCAGTGGCTAGGGATTGGTTTTTTTATGT